TTTGATATATTTTTATTTTAAATTAGTTCAATGTATTTGTTTTTCCTTTGAGACCATCCCTTTTATCCATGCATAATTTAGAAGTGTGCTGTTTAGTTTCCAAGTGTTTGGAGATTTTCCTCTTATCTTTCTGTTCTTGATTTCTAGCTTCATCCCATTGTGGTCAAGGAAGACACTCTGTATGATTTAAGTTCTTTTAAATCTGTTTAGGTTAGTTTAATGATAATGACCTGGGATATCATCTCTCTTGGTGATTGTTCCATAGCACTTGAAAAGGATATGTATTCTGCTCTTGTTAGATGGAATGTTTTATAAACATCAATTCAGTTCTATTGGTTGTTAGTGCTCTTGAGTTCCTCTGTAGCCTTGCTGGTTCTATGTCTGTTGTTCTACCAGTTATGGAGAGAGGAATGTTGAAGTCTCCAAAGGTAATTGTGGATTTGTCTATTTCTCCTTTCATCTGTATCAGTTTTTGCTCTATGTATTTTGCAGCTCTGTTATTGGTGCATACACATTTAGGATTGCTATGTCTCCTTGATGGATTGAACTTTTTGTCATTATATAAGGTCCTTCTTGCTGGTAGTTTTATTACCTTTAAAGTCTGCTTTTTGTAATCTTAATATAGCCATTCCTGTTTTCTTTTTATTAATGTCTGCATGGTATATCTTTTTTATCTTTTGCTTTCTAATCGCCTATATCATTATATTTTAAGGAAGTTTCTTGTAGGCAGCATATAGCTAGATAGTACTTTTTTATCTGTTCTGCCAATGTCTTTTAATTGGTGTATTTAGACCATTTATATTTAATGTAATTGTTGATACATTAGGGCTTAATTCTGGTATTTTTTTCCTTTGTTCTCTTTTTTCTTTTTCCTGCCTTTCTGTGGGCCACTTGAACATTCTTTACAATTCCATTTTTATTTTTATATTGTGTTTTTGTGTGTATCCCTTTGTATAGCTTGTTTGTTCTTAATGTTATATAAACATAAGTTTCAAAGTCTAGTGGTATTGACATTTACCAGTTCCAGTGAAGTGTAGAAACCTTACCTCTCTTTATGTCCTTTTACCCCTTCCTTTTTTATAACATTATTGTCTTAAAGGTTTACTCTGCATGCGTTTAGAACCACATCAGATAGTGTTACAATTTTTGCTTCAACCATCAAAAATCATTTAGAAAATTTGAGGAGGAAAATCTATTGTATTTACACATAATTTTACTCTTTCTGTTGTGTTTTCTTTCTTCCTGAAGTTCTAAGATTTCTTCTTTTATCATTTCCGTTCTGTTTAGAGACCTTCCTTTAGCCATTCCTTTAGGGTAGGTCTGCTGGCAACAGATTTTTTTAGTTTTCCTTTATCTGAAAATGTCCTGATTTCCCTTTCATTTCTGAAGGATATTTACACTGGATGTAGAATTCTGGACTAACAGCTATTTTCTTCAGCATTTGAAAAATATATCCTTCTAGTCTCCATGGTTTCCGATGAGAAATCAGCTGTCTTTCTAATTGTTTTTCTAATATAGATAAAATGCCATTTCTCTTACTCCTTTCAACAGTTTTTATCTTTAGTTTTCAGAAGTTTGACTATAAAATGTCTTAGTGTGGATTCCTTTGGATTTATCTTGTTTGGGGTTCTCTCTCGGCTGCTTGAGTCTATGTCTTTTCCCAGATTTGGGGCATTTTCAGACATTATTTCTTTTAATACTTTTTTAATACCACTTTTTTCTCTTTTTATTCCATTTTCTGATGACATGAATATTAGATCTTCTGTTATAGTCCAATCCCACAGGTCCCTGATCTCTGTTTTGTTTTTTTTTTCCCCAGTCCATCTTCTCTCCACTGTTCAAATTGGATAATTTCCATTGTCTGTTTTCACTTTACTGATTCTTTTGTCTGTTCCCTCCATTCTGTTAAAAATTGAGCCCATCCATTTGGATTTTTATTCCAGTTATTGTATATTTTAGTTCTAAAATTTCCTTTTGGTTCTTCTTTATATCTTTTATTTGCTGAGACTTTGTTTTTTTCATTTGTTTCAGTTGTGTTCTTACTTGATCATCAAAGCATTTTTGTGATGGCCACTTTAAAAATCCTTGTTACGAAATGCGAGTAATTCTAGTGTCTCTGTCATCTCAGTGTTGGCGTCTGTCGATTGTCTTTTCTTGTTCAAGTTGAAATTTTTCTGATTCTTGGTGTGAGAAGTGATTTTCAGTTGAAACTTTGTTATTTTGAATATTCTGTTATGAGACTCTGGACCTTGTTTAAATCTTCTTCTTTGTCTAACTTCCTCTGACATGGCTTTGTCAGCAGAAGGGGCATACTACCTTATTACTGCCCGTTGGAAATGAAAGTTCTGGTTGCCCACTCAGCTTCCATCAACATCTGTGGGGTTGGCAGTTTGGGGGAAGGGACTCTTGATAACTGCTGGGCAGGGGAAGGAGTTCCAGCTCCCCACTAGGCCTCTGCTAATAACTCCCTGGCTGAGAGGGGCAGGAGTGCCTTTTTTACTCTTCCCTAGTTGAACTGTGCTGCCACCGGGAGGAGGTGGTCCTGTCACTGCCAGCACTGATGAATGCCCTCACTAGGCCTCCTTCGACACTACCCCGAGTGAGGGGCACGCTTGTCATTACCCAGGGGGAGTGGAAGTATATAGGCTTGTTACCACCAGATGGGATTGTCCTGTCTGCCTATTCAGCCTTCTCTGACTCTGCTCTGTGTGTGTGTGTCTGTGTGTCTGTGTCTGTGTGTGTCTCTGTGTGTGTGTGTGTGTGTGTGTGTGTCTAGAGATGTTGGTCGGTTTCTTCACTACCACCTGGCAAGTCTAGGTTCCCCACGCCCTTTGCTGGTGAGGGTGGGGGTGGTGTCACAGTGTCTTGGTGTTTGGCTGAAGTACAGCAATTATTGCCTAAAAGTTTTTTTGTTGGAACTTTTCTTACCTGTGCCCTTGGTGTTTCTCAGCCACTGGCTTCTCCAGCATGTGGTCTGGGACACACAAGACAAGAAGAAAAACCCAGAGAATTCGCTGTCACGTGGTTCCTCACATTCCAAGATTTCTAGCCAGTCCTCTTTCTCTCCACCTTCGGAGCCTTCTTATGTTTGTTTTGGGTATAACATGCAGGTTTTTAATAGTAATTAGCCACAGGAGTAGGGAAAAGAGCTCTTCTCCATCTTTCCACAATGACATATCCCCCATCTACCTTAAAAACAAGCATCTATTTATTTCTAAAAGCTTTTGCTTACCATTCACACCAACCCTAAGTTCAGGGACAGCTCTGAATTATTATCTTTATAAAACCATTTTCTTGTGTAATTTTTATGGCTTGAAAATGAAGTCATATATCATGTGTTTTTTATAACCTCTTAGGAAAATCTAGAGAACTTGTTCTCAATATGTGTTTATGCCTCCAGTCCATAACTGGTCATCTGTGTATGCTTCTGATCTCATTTTATCCTCTTATCATTCAGGAAACATTATTGAGTTTTTAATTATGTACCAGGGATTATAGTGATGAAGTAAGACAGCATACCAGCTACCAGGGAACTTACAGCCTAACAAAATAGACAGACGAGCAAATAGAAAATCACAACGCAGCATACCAAGTTAGAAGAGGAAACGGGAGGAGTGATAGGCATCTTTTAACACTTTAATATTTAAGTATTGGGGGAAGTTTGCCTTCCTTTAAGATAAATCTGTTGATCTCTGACTTGCTCCCCTTTGACCAGGAAAGAATGTGCGGGATCAATAATAAAAGAAATTTCAGAATGTCCTGGAGAATAGAATTTCAACCACATAGAGACTGTTTCCCTCATTCCCAGACCTTCACAGACTGTGCTTCTCCCTTCTGGCCTTCAAGAGCTCCTGGGACAATGAGGGCCGTTAAACTAATGGTGATTGTGCCCTTCAGATAAATTTGGAGATCTGAGAAAACGAGACGTGTTCTCTGAGAGTTGTAGGACATTTAAACTCGTACAATGGAAAATCTTAAAAACCAGTATTCTCCCAGAATTACCGGTGATTACTCAGGATGATTATGATTCTCTTCATATTATCAGCACAGTTAGGGGTGAAGAACAAGGCAAAACAGAAAGGAAAATAATACCTTGCATCCTCAGTTGAAAAACATTGGTGTTGGCGTTAATATTGAGTAGCAGAAAGTCAGGGTAGAGGTGGTTTGTTTCATCTTGATGGTGTTGACAGGATGAAGAGATTTTAATGCCCCGTTGTTTGGTCTTGTCAGTCTCTGTGAGTCATTTATTTACACGTTGTTGGCTGTTGTGATGTGTTCTCTGTTATGTGGTGATATCCAGAATTATGTATCCTAGTAGAGAACTCTGTTATTCTTAGATTCTTATTTCCGTCTTCTGTGTACCCAGTAATTTTGATAAATAACCTAGCAGTTTTCCTTCACTGAGAACTAAATAAGATCGAAATATATTACCATTTTCCCACATAAAACATGTAACTTTAGAAAAATCACTTGATCATTGTTATGTTGTTACGTGCCGTCGAGTCGATTCCGACTCATAGCGTACGTATGGGGCAGAGTAGAACTGCCCCACAGGGTTTCCAAGGAGGGGCTGGTGGAGTCAAACTGCCAACGTTTAGGTTAGCAGTCAGATGCTTAACCACTGTGCCAGTAGAGCTCCAGATCATTTGGTATCTGCTATAAAATTACAAATATCGTTCTTAAAAATGTTTTAATTGAACTGTTTATTTACCAAAATAAAGGAACAAAGTCTGTCTTTTGGTATGATGGCCCCAGTTTGTATTATTTATTCCCATACTTAGTAGTTGGAAACTTTTATAAGTCATAATGATCATCCATATTTAACATAGATATAAATAATTCAGTTGTAAATGACTAACTCATATGAGGGATGATTGGTTTATAATTCTTTCATTAGTCATTCTAATTAGTGAGATGGGATATTGAGAAAGCAATTGAAAAATAATATTGGAGCAGGTGACACTTGCATTTCATGTTAAATGTTACAATTTATTCCATAGGAGGGACTTCGAACTTTGTGTGTTGCCTATAAGAGACTCATTCCAGAAGAATACGAAGGCATTTGTAAACTGTTGCAGGCTGCTAAAGTGGCACTTCAAGATCGAGAAAAAAAATTAGCAGAAGCATATGAGCAAATAGAGAAAGATCTTATTCTGCTTGGTGCTACAGCTGTTGAGGATCGGTAAAGTAACAGCTTATACCTTGTCTTCAAAAACAAAGAATGATGAAATACAATGATCTGTGTGATACACAGAGGGAGCTTCAGAAGGGAGTGTTGTCAACTGCATGCAACGTTTGATACGTTTATTCATTAGAAAGAGAAGTTTGTTTTATTGCATGCTCTAGAGTAATATCACAGAGGAGCTTATGAACTACAGATACGACTTTCACCGAAGCAAATCATAATGCTTAATTTTGAAATTAACCTAGATATTTTTAGAGCAAGGTAGATATTTATCTATATTCTTAACAAAAATTTATATTTAATGAATAAGATGTCTGAAATTCGTAGTTTACAGAAGAACCAGAAATAGTATTTTCACATAATGTTATGAATAGTCAAGATATGTTATTTTTTTTTAATTATCTTTTAGAACGGAATCAGTAACTCATCGTTTTTCTAAATTTGTTACTAGTTCTTTCCAAATATACGAAAACAAACAAACCCACTACCATCCTATCAATTCCAACTCATAGCAACTCTATAGGACAGAGTAGAACTGCCCCACAGGGTTTCCAAGGCTGTAATTTCTATGGAGGCAAACTGCCACATCTTTCTTCCACAGAGCGGCTGGTGGGTTCAAACCTCTGACCTTTACATACGCCATGTATTTGTCATTACTTATTTGAGAAATTTAAAATCAGTGGAATATTATAAAAAGTAACAATAATAATTACTGGTAAATTACCAATTACAGATTTTCAAATACCTCCAAAGGAAAAGCTTCTAATCTATCACAATTCTGTGACAAGGACTGAAAGTTATTTAAAGTTTAATCCACTAAGAAAGGAGTCCCTATGTAGTGGAAACAGTTAATGACTCAGCTGCTTAACCAAAAGGTTGGAGGTTTGAGTCCACCCAGATGTGCCTTGGAAGAAAGACCTGGTAATCAATCTACTTCTAAAATCAGCCATTGAAAACCCTGTGGAGCACAGATTTAATCTGATGCACATGGGGTCACCATGAGTCAGAATCGACTCAACAGAACTGAGTATTTTCTACCAAGGAATGGTCGTTTGTTCCACTGTGTTATTTTGTAGGACAGTGGAGGAATGGATTACAATTTATTATGATGGAATAGAGAAGGGGAAAAAATACCCCAATTTAAAAGAACAAAACAAAAATTTCAGGAAATATACTGAGAGTTTATTTCCTGGAAGTGTTTATAACCGTAAAGTTTGAAAGTTTTTAAGATTCATTGTAGTCTGTCTTAGTCATTTAGGTCTGCCATAATAAATTTCCACAAGTGGGTGGCTTTAACAAACACAAGTTTATTTTCTCAGTTTAGGAGGCAGAAGTCCGAATTCAGGGCACGGGCTCTAGGGGAGACTCTCTCTCTCTGTTGGCTCTGGGGGAAGGTCCTTGTCTCTTCAGCTTCTGTTCTTTGCCTCCGTGGTGATCTTCATGTGGCTCGGCATCTGTCCACCCCCGTCTGCTTGCTTCTCTGCACCTGATCTGCTCTTTTTATATCTCAGAGATGATCGGCTTAAAACACACCCGAAACTGATATGACCTCTCAACATAGAAAAGAAAACCCTTTCCCAAATGGGATTGCAGCCAGAGCTATAGGGTCACTGTGAGTCGGAACTTACTCAACAGCAACCTGTTCCGTTGTGTTTTTTATAGGGGTTAGGATTTACAACATATATTTTCGAAGGACACAATTGAATCCATAAGATAGTCCAAAACTTCCGTATCTTTAAACTTACATTATTCCAGCATGTGGATTTAAAAAGCATTTACTGAGTTTTCAATCTGAGTAGAGTATTAGGCGAAGTAGGAAGTGTCTGGTTGGTTTTGTTTTTTGTTTTTTAAGCCACATCTTCTGCATTCAGTCCAGATTAAGAAAACAAGATACAGACAAAAGAGGCGTGTTTCATGCCTAGGACCGTTTTTCTATAGTGAAGCTATAGTGGTGCAGTAGCTTAATCACCAAGTGGTTACTGTGTACCAGCCCCTGACTTAGGCTTAGAACTCATTTAACCCTTGCAGTGGCCCCCATTTGTCAGAGACAAGATAAGTGTTTAAGATAAGGGAGTGTTGAAAGTAGGATAGTGTTTGCCTGGGGAAAAATTGCAACTGGTCCTTACAGGAAATGATGAAAATAGATTGGCAGAAAAGAAGAAGGATGTTGTTAGAAAATTAGATATGGTTTCTTATATCTCTAGAATACTATGATTGTGTGGTCTTGTGACCAGAAATTTATTTCAGAATCTAACCCAAATCATTCCAGTTAGAATTTAAATCCGTTCCTCCCATTCACTACCTGTAAGGAACATATTACATCATTTCACACACCCATCAAAAGTTCAGATTCTAAAATCTAGAAAAAATGACAGATCACCAAAATGAGGTAAACGTGGTTTTGACACCAAATCTTCCAAGAATAACCGCACAGTTTTGACCGACGTCAAGACAGCCGTTCTTCCTTGGGCAAGTTTGTTAACCTCTCTAGGCTTTGGTTTTTCTGGATGCAAAATGGGGGTAAAGAGGTTGTTGTGAAGATGGAATTTGCGGTTTTGCCATGAGTTGGAGTCAACTCAGCGGCAACTGGTTTTGGTTTTAGTAGTGGAATCATTAGAATCATTAATTTTTTATATTATTTAGAAGTACCTGTGCTCCAATTTGATAAGAGGCAAAATTAGAACAGTTTTTACCAAAAGATAACGAGTATTACTTATCATCTCATTTTCCAGCTGGTTAAGGATGTTTTTGTTGTAGTTTGTGACAGCCCTTACAATTGCCTGAAGTGAGTCCCAGCTAGACGGAAAACTGTGACACCTAGCAAATGTAGATTATACAAGGCAGACTACTTTACTTCTTAAATATTTTAGTCATATTTAACTATTTGATATTATGAAATGTTTTATTGTAAGAAGTTAATACATAACTTAAAAAAAATGCTCAGGTACCTTATAGTAAAATTATGAGCCAGCAGCATGGTGCTTTTTAAATTGGAGGAGCCTTTGACAGTATTGCTTGTCGTGTTTTCTCTTGAACTTCCCTTAGGCTCCAGGAAAAAGCGGCTGATACCATTGAAGCTCTGCAAAAAGCTGGAATCAAAGTGTGGGTTCTGACAGGGGACAAAATGGAAACCGCGGCAGCCACCTGCTATGCCTGCAAACTTTTTAGGAGAAACACACAGCTACTTGAGCTAACCACCAAGAAAATTGAAGAGCAGAGTTTACACGATGTCCTGTTTGAGCTGAGCAAAACCGTTCTACGCTACAGTGGCAGCCTAACGAGAGACAACTTCTCAGGGTAGATAACACCTCCCTCACCCGCCCCAACAGAGGTCCTCAGGGCAGCTGACACCCACTTGCCAGAAGAGGAGCCAGCCGTGAGATTAAGCTCTGTTTTAAAATAGCATGTCCGAAACCATTTACACTTCCCCATTCATGTGTATTAAAGCTTCCCGTCCAGTCACCTCATTTAATTAGAGACTTTCCTGAGTCCAGGGTAACAGGTTTGCTTTTTTTAGCATTTTTAGTACAAGTCTATTTGTTCTCCTTTACAGCCCCCCACACTAGTCAGACTCTCTCCTCGTGTGTAACATGACGCTCTTCTTATACGTGGTTTACTTTCCCCATATCTGTATACCCCCTACCTTTATTTGTTTGGATCACATTCAGTCCTCTAAATTTACTAGCTTCATCATTGTGGCTGGAATAAACACTGGGGACAAGATGAGCTGGTTCTCTTCAGCAAAGTGGAAAATGTCTTTTGCATCCTTTTTTTAGCTGTTTGAAACTGGGAAGATATACGTGTGTGTGTGTGTGTGTGTGTGTGTGTGTGTTATGTATGTATATTTGGAACGTGAGAGCTCTTATCTGCTTCTAAGACAATTAGGGAGTTCCATTGTAGACTCCTCAGAGTGTCTGCCAGATGAGGTAGGGAAATATTAATAATGCATGGTTGGTTGTCTGTTAAAACAGTATACGCCCCAGAGTTGTTTGTTTTCCTCAAGATATTCAGCCTTATAATCTGATACGTGTTATTGGTGCCATCCTTGCTGATGCTAGATGCATTATCTAAGATTATATTTTATTTGAACTGTTTTAAATTTTCATCAGTGTAGGCAAAGCAATAACAGCTCTCTAATCATATGTACATTTTAAATTATTCATAAATAGTACAAAGATATTTTTCTTCACCTGATCTGCAGAATGCCTTTTGGGGATTAGAAATGTTCCTTGTGATTTTGAAACCCAGCCAAGAGAAATACTGTGACCATGTTCTCACCGACTGAGGCAATCCAAGCAGAGTATCAAGGGGTAGTAACTGGTGAAGGTGAAGACGGAGATTAGCATATGTGGCCAGGAAGTTCAAGATTATAGACCAACCTCTTTAGAATGCAAGATAAATGTTCTCCTTATATTGTTTCAGAAGTGCTGGAAGTTCCACACAAATCCACAAATAGAAGTGTGTTTTTGCTTTACCTAAGTGAAATAGGATGTTTTATTAAAACACAAGAAAAAATGTAGTCAAAGGTGTTAAATTCAGTACTATAAAGATTTGTATTGATAAAACAAGAAGTATTACTCCCTTAATTATCCATTAATCATGGATTTATATTATCTGTAGATATCCAAAAATAATCATGTAATCTTCTGCACTCAATAGATTTAGCTATTGAATAATCTCTCTGATTTATATAATCTTACAGACTTTCAACAGATTTGCAAGACTACGGTTTAATTATTGATGGAGCTGCATTGTCTTTAATAATGAAACCCCGAGAAGATGGGAGTTCTGGCAACTACAGAGAACTCTTTCTTGAAATCTGCCGAAACTGCAGTGCCGTGCTCTGCTGTCGGATGGCACCTTTGCAGAAGGCACAGGTTGATGCTTTATTTCTGTTTTAATCAGTTAATGATTGAGGTGTATTTAAATATTGAAAATCTTTAGTTAGTTCTCACAACCACTCATGTTTGCAAAATGTAGCAAGGTTCCCACGTTTTTGAAGTACAGGCAAAAACCTTAAATGATAGAAATAAGAAAAGAGTCTCATTTTGCTTGTTGTGATTAACCACAGGGATTAGTAAATGCTGACTGAATCAAATTTGTGATTTCCTTAGATGCAAAGGCCAGGAGAGATTCCCTGTCCTTCTCATGTATAATAAAACTATGTCCACAAAAATACAACCATTTATTAAGAATCTATGCTAAAGGTGGATTGGAAGGGAACTAACATTTAATGAGCACCTCTTGTGTGCCAGTTACAGATCTGACCCTGTTAGATGAGTGAAGTTATCCTAATTTTACAAATGAAGTGTCTAAGACCTAGAAAATTAGAATAATTTCCCTAAAATGATGCAGTTAGAAAACAGCAGTGTCAAAATTTGACCTCTACTCTGACTCCAAACTTAACATCCTACCCATTCTGCTATGTTCTTGCAAGAAATCTGAATTGTTTTTTGTTTTGTTTTTAAATACCTTTAAAAGCATTATAGAATACATGTGTAACTATGGGTATGTTTCTGATGTCAGTAAACTTAGAACAGTTTCAACTTAGTTAAGCAGCATTTTGGATACACAGATCAATTTAATTGTTCGAGAAAGAAATCCATTCCTTCTTAGACTAACCCAGTGGTTTGGGCTAAAATACATCTTTCACAAACTCTATAAACATTGTGCCTTGCAAATAGGTACTTTTTTTAGGAGGTAATTTTTTCCTTTGTATGCACATGTGCTAAACTAACTAGGCAGACGACGATGTCACAAAGAATACCTATTATTTTACTCTTGGTTTCCATATGTCTCGTGTCTCTCTTGTTCCTCTATTCCTCTTTTACTGCTTTATTTTGCATTAAACGAATATTTTCTTATGCAGCTTTTTAATTTCTTTAAAATTTGTACTATATTTTTTGAGTTATATTTTAGTGGTTTCTTTGTTGTTGTTATGTCCCATAGAGCTGATTTTCAACTCATCACAATCCCAGGGGACAGAGTAAAACTGTCCCGTAGGGTTTCCTATGCCGTAATCTTTATGGGAGCAGATTGCTAGGTCTTTCTTCCATGGAGCCACTGAGTGGGTTTGAACCACCAGCCTTTCAGTTAGTAGCTGAACACTGAACCATTGCACCACCAGGGCTCCTTGTGGTTTCTGTAGGGCTTATCATATGCATCTTATCAGAATCAGCTTCAGAGTTATACTAGCTTAATTTGGTGATATATAGAAATGGCATCTTATCAAAATCAGCTTCAGATTTATACTAGCTTAATTTGGTGATATATAGAAGTGTTACTTCTAATAGCTGTATTCCTTTCCCCCCTTTTGTGGTATTAAATTGTTTTACATATTACATTTATTGTTGTTACAAATCCAACAATCATTGTTATAATTACTACTTTAACATCTGTAGTCATTTTCTTAGCCCAGTACAACTTTGCTCCCACCTACTTCCTTGGTGTTGTTATTTATTGTGAGGAGGGTCTGCTAGCAACAAATTCTCTCAGTTTTTTGTTTGTCTGGGAAAGTATTTTTGTCTTCATTTTTGAAAGATCACATTGTTGGATATAGGATTCTCGGTTGTCAGTTTTTTCTTTGAATATGTTATCCCTCTACCTTCTGGCCTCCATTGTTTCTGCTGAGAAGACAGCTGTTCATCTTTTTCAGGTTCCTTTGTAAGTGAAGAATCGTTTTTTCCTTGCTGCTTTCAAGATTTCCTCCTTGTCTTTGACTTTCAGCATTTTTACTATGATTGCCTGTCTGTGGGTCTCTTTGTGTTTATGCTACTTGAAGTTTGTTGAGTTTCCTGAATATGTGTGTTCCTGTTTTTCAATAAATTTGGGGAGTTTTTAGCCATTATTTCTTCAAATGTTTTTCTTTTTCTTTCTCCTTCTTATACTCCTATTATGTGTATGCTGGTGTACTTAATGCTGCTCCATGTTGCTCTGAGGTTCTGTTCATTTGTCTCTGTTTTTTCTTTCTGTTCTTCAGCATGCATAATATCTATCAATCTCTTCACCACCTCTTTCTTCTGCCAGTTCAAATCTGCTGTTGAGCCCCTCTCGTGAATTTTTTATTTTAGTTAGTCTACTTTTTGATTCCAGAATTCCCCTTTGATTCTTTTTCATAATGTCTGTCTCATAATGCTCATCTCTTTAATGATATTCTCAAGGAGCCCTGTGGTGCAACAGTTTAGCACTCAGCTGCTAACAAAAAGTTGGCAGTTTGAACCCACCCAGTAGCTCCATGGGAGAAAGACCTGGTGGACTGCTCCTATAAAGATTACAGCCTAGAAAACCCTATGGGACAGTTCTATTCTGTCACATGGGGTCACTATGAATTGGAATTGACTTGACGGCACCCAACAACAGTAATAATATTCTCTGATATGACATTGTCATTATATCTTCCTTTACTTCTTTAATTATGCTTTCCTTTAATTCTGTGATGGTATTTATAATAGCTACTTGGATGTCTTTTTCTGTTAAATCCGATATCTGGTCACTGTCAAAGGCAGTTTCTGTTACTGCTCTGCACTCATCTCCCCACCCCCCACCATGTGTAGGTCTTACTTTCCTGTGTACCTTTTCTTTGCACACCTTGTAATTTTTTGTTGTAAACTGGACATTTTAGGTAATATATTGTAGCATCTTTGGGTTCTGCTACCCACCCTGCAAGGGCTTCTTACTGTTACTTTTTGTCTATCTGTTTAGTGCCTGGCTGGATTATCTTAGTGAAGTCTACTTCCCCCACATAATGTTAAGCCTCCGGTGTTGCTCATCAGGGAGACATAGTTTGGGGCAAGCCCACATTTACCCTGAGATGACAAGGTGTTGTTAAGGGTCTCTTCCTGTCTTTCCCCGACCACAACAAGCTGTGAAACTCTGCTAATTGCCAGCTGATTGCTCTGTTGTTTTCAACAATGCCCTGAGACCTAAATTGCTCTACAGCATTATCCAGTCAGATTGCGGATTCTGTAAAGGAATAGTTGCTGAGGTTAGTGTTTGATATTTGTTCTAACCGCAGGAAGGCTCCTCCCAGTTGCCTTATTCCCCAGGTCTTTCCTACAAACTGGAGCCCTGGTGGCGCAGTGGTTAAGAGCTTGGCTGCTAACCAAAAGGTCGGCAGTTTGAATCCACCAGCTGCTCCTTGGAAACCCTGTGGGGCAGTTCTACTCTGTCCTATAGGGTCGCTATGAGTTGTAGTCGACTCAACAGCAACAGGTTTGGTTTTTTGTTTTTGTTTTTTAATTTTCCTACAAACTAACCAGCATACAGGCTAAACCGTATCTTCATTAAATCCATAAATCTCCCAATTGCTTTTCACCCCAGCCTCCACTGTTACTGGCAAATATATCACAAATATAATCTTGAGAGTGTCATTAGGCTTAAACTTAACCATATTCTGTTGCAAATGAAGTCAGTTCCTTTGGGAAGAGATTAAGAGCTATCTGTTTTTACTGCCTGCTCCTCTCCCCAGGCAAAATCTCTGAGCCAGGGCTCTAGAGCTGAGACAGTGGCAAGCTTCTGGGATACAGAGGTATAGTGGCAGCAGCCTGAGCTCCTCTCAGCTTGCTTTTCCTGGCATGGAACCACCACATAATGAGCTGGGGCAAGAGTGATCGGAGCCCCAGTATTCTCAGCGCACCACCCCCAAAGTAGAGCTTCTGTTCCATCAGTGGGGACTAGGCAAAAGAAGGAAGCTCCCACCTCTTGACTCTATTTGATTAAGTCCCACCCAGGACTTAGACTCAGCAACAGGTGGCTGCTGGCAGGATGAGAAATGCTGAAGTTCTGTTCCTCCTGGGAAGAAAGCCCTGCAGCTGGGAGCTGGGGGGAGAGGGAGCCCTGTGTTCTTGGCTGCAACAGTGTGGCATGGAGCTCACCTAGCTGAGCTGGGAGGGAGCGGTCTTGGTTCAAATACCATAGACTCTCTTATTGAATTTTCATAGATTTTCTTGAATAGATGTTTTTTCATTTGCTCTTTGCCCTTAGGACCATTTCCAGTGGCTTTAATGGTTGTTGTTTTTAATAATTTTCACCAGTTCCTCTAGAGAGTGGGTTAGTGGAGTTCCTCACACTGCATGCCAGAAGTGATACCCCTAAAAACATAAAACAGGATTGACTTGGCTGCTGCTCAGTGAAGACAACCTGATACTTGAGAATTCATATACAGTTATTTGGGATACAAATGGTTTTACTTCCTAACCTCCTTCTTAGGTGTTTGACTATGTAAACATATAATCATTTGCAGAATGGCAACTAAGAATTTTGTGTTTGCTCTTCATTTGTTCTGTGGTACTTTTTTAAAAGTTCTTAACTGACTTTTGTAAACTTTTATACAAATTAGTTTGTGTTTTAGTCACTCATCTTGAAACGGGAAGGTCATTAACACATTTTTCCCCATCTTTTTAGTCTTATATCTTAACCATATATCATTACACTTAGACATATGTGAAAAAAAGACTAAAAAAATGAGCTAAAAATTTGGAAACTTCATTGCATTAAATTAAGAGATTTGATGAAAATTTGAAAATTAAAATAGCATTAAGAGTAGTTTATTTAAATATATATATGTGCACGCACGTGTGTGTATATATGCTTCATACCAAATATCTTGGAATAACAACTATCTTCTAACAAAATGAAATGTTTCAGTTTTCCCCTATATATTTAAATATATTACTGTGTTTTTGTGTGCCATCAAGTCGATTCCAACTCATCATGACACTAGAAGGGCTCCATAGAGTTCCCTAGGCTATAATCTTTGCAGGAGCACACTGCCAGGTCTTTTCTCCCACATAGCTGCTGGGTGGGTTCAAACCACTGGCCTTTCAGTTAGCAGCCAAGCACTTAACTATTGCACCACCAGGCTTCCTTATATTAGTATAACCAAACCAAAACCCAAACCCATTGCCGTCAGGTTGATTCTGACTCATAGCGACCCTGTAGGACAGGGTAGAACTGCCCCATAGGGTTTCCAAGGAACGGCTGACTGGTGGATTCGAACTGCTGACCTTTTGGTTAGCAGCTGTAGTACTTAACCACTATGCCACCAGCTTTTAGTAGTAACTAAAAGCTACTTCATGTATTTCATGTCTCTGTCTTCAGAATTGGCCTACCGGTCTTTTTGATCTTATCTCATTGTAATCATACCGTAGTTACTTTTGCTTTATTTTGTTTTGTTTTCAATATGAAAAAGGTTTTATCTTATGTGGATGGGTAGATTGGTTATAGTAAATTAGCTATAAACAAATAATTTTTTCTTTTCCTGAAGTAACTACATTTTTTAAAATTTCTAATTAATTTTTTAAATTTTTTAATTAGCCTATCTAATGAATAACCTGAGTAAAAATTAAGCAGAGAAGATAAGTTCTGCATTTATTTCTTTTTCAGATTGTTAAATTAATTAAATTTTCAAGAGAGCACCCTATTACTTTAGCGATCGGTGATGGTGCAAATGACGTGAGCATGATCCTGGAAGCACATGTGGGCATAGGTAAGCCATTTTGTCTCTTCCTTTTTGGCTGCCTACACACCTTGGTAGCCAAGATTTGTCACTTTATCCACAAGAAGGGGGCACAGCCAAAGGAGATGTCATAGAATTCATGTGGTACATTCAGGCCACCATCTGTAATTTAGTGCATTCATGACTGGGAAATCTCATAATAATGGCTTGATCTAGCCTTATTTTGCTTTCATGGTGATGAGAAAGGGTTTATTCAGCACATTTCTCCCCCGTTTTATAGGTGTCATTGGAAAGGAAGGTCGTCAGGCTGCGAGGAACAGTGACTATGCAATACCGAAATTTAAGCACTTGAAGAAGATGCTGCTTGTTCATGGGCATTTTTATTACATTAGGATATCTGAGCTTGTGCAATACTTCTTTTATAAGGTAGGATGGAGTCCTTTGCTCCTATTGCTGTTTCTGTGGTGTGTAATGGACATAATAGAATGGCACAGTTGTCAGAATGGCTTGATGCCATAAGAGGTAATTTATCTAAAAATAGCAGTAACTGCCAGAAAGGAAGGAGTAAGCTTATTACTACAAAAGGAAACCGCTACCACTTTTCTCATATTAACAATTTAATGTGGACCCAGTAAGAAGATATCAGTAGTAAAATGTTTGAAGAAGTGGCATTCTTTTATAATTCCTTTAAATAATTTCTTATTCATTCCCGTCCTGCTTCCAATTATGCAATTTTATTTTTTTTCCTGTTTATATTGACACATTGCCTTCTCGTTTCTCTTTAACTTAAATTTTCTCTTTACGATGTCTGTTATCAGAGTGTCAGAATATATTCATGTATACGTTTTAGGTACATTGAAAAAAGAAAAAAATTTAAAGCACATTATCTGTTTTCTATAGACAACAGGACACTTCTGAATCAACTTCCCCAAATAAAGTGGTATTAAACTGACATCTTCTTATGAATTCTAATATAAGTAATGGATACCTCTTATAGTATGTCTTTGAGTTAACAACCTTGTGACTTGTCTTTCAGAATGTCTGCTTCATTTTCCCTCAGTTTTTATACCAGTTCTTCTGTGGATTTTCACAACAGGTCAGTTCTAGCATTTCAAGTTAAAAGCTTGCCTGAGCCCTTATTTTCCTTCCGCCATGTTGGTTGTTGCAGTAGAGAAAGAGAAGGCTCCCAGAAATATGCAGACAAACTCTCCATGGGAAGATGGTGAAGAAGGCAGTAATGTCTCTCCATCTTCCTGCCTCTCTGGAGTACATGTGTTTTGCCCCAGTTAGCAGACTTGGGATAAAGGAATAGGGGCCCTGATGTTGAGGCACTGTACGGTGCTCCAGAGTCTGCTGACTCCAGACTTGCTAATGCGGATACATTTCTTAGATGCAGTCCAATCACGAGTGCAGCCGAGAGAGACTTTGCTGCTCTCCAGGGCTCAGAGTGATGCTTTGCTAGACTGTCTGAACCCAACAGACAGAAGGCAGGATGTTGTTGTTGTTAGGTGCTGTAGACTCAGTGCTGGCTCGTAGGGACCCTTTGTACAAGGGAACAAAGCACTGCCTGGTCCTGTGCCATCCTCACGATCGTTGCTGTGTTTGAGCCCATTGTTGGAACCACTCTGTCAGTCCATCTTGTTGAGGGTCAGTATAACCCAAACCAAGCCCACTCCCTTCAAGTAGGACAGAGTAGAACTGCCCCATAGGGTTTCCAAGGCTGTAAATCTCTGTGGAAGAAGACTGCCACATCTTTCTCCCACAGAGTGGCTGATGAGTTCAAACCTCCGACCATTTTGCAGCCGAGTGCTTTAACCACTGCACCACCAGGGCTCCTTGAGGGTCAGTATAAAACCAAAAAAAAAATCCAAACCTGTTGCCATTGAGTCGATTCCGACTCATAGCAACCCTATGGGACCGAGTAGAGCTGCCCCGTAGGGTTTCCAGGGATGGCTGATAGATTTAAACTGCCAACCTTTTGGTTAGCAGCTGAAGTCTTAACCACTACACCACCAGGGCTCCAGGGTCAGTATAACCAAAAAAAATCCGTTGCTGTCGAGTCGATGCTGAGCTTAAGTCTTAGACCCTTTAATTGGCCCTTTGGACCATCGCTGGAATTTGGTGTATTAAAATGTGCTAAGTGGAGGCAGTGTGACCTGGAGAAAGTAATGGAGAAGCTGCTCAGACAGTTACTACAAAAGCAAATATATGCTTTCTGTCATTTAGTTACTTACACTATCCTGCACAGATGGACTTCGGGCAACAGCTTTTATCTGAAGGGACCGGGACTGGGGAAAATTGAAATTTGAAGACAGTGATCAGGATCGTGTATCTCAGTTTGCAATGGCAGAATGAGGTGGCTCAAAGTTGGGCCTTCTGTCAGTTGTAATTTTAATCCTGACTAGTTTACGTAACAGAGCTTCGGAAAATGCCTTGGTCAGTCTATGTCAGGAGAAAGGTGATTCTTCATGCATTTTAGAGTGGTCGTGTCTCTGGTTCTTTACAAATTAAAAGAAGAAAAATCTTTGTGTACAAAATATCCAAAATGTTTCTAAAAATGCAGTGAAGTGTTTTTAGTTTAATATTTTTTTCTTCTTACAGACTTTATATGATACTGCGTATCTTACACTGTACAATATCAGTTTTACTTCCCTTCCAATTCTCTTGTACAGTCTGATGGAGCAGCATGTCAGTATAGATATGCTCAAGAGAGACCCTTCACTGTACAGGTATTGTGGCTCAAAAATAATTAGGTAGCAATGTAATGATTCCTTCAAATAAATGCATAGTTGGCATTATTTATAAACCAATGTATCAGCTGATACAGTTCCTTCTACAGGAAATTCTTTAAGCAGAAAGCAATGTAATTTAAATGAATATATGTAAAATTCGGCTAGATTTACCTTACATTTGGAATGTACATGTTAAACCAGTTTGTATTTTAGCATGGTTTTTGATAATTATGAAAGAACCTATGAGTTCTTTTCCTCATTGTGACCTCTGTAGCTTCATAGCCTAAATTATCCTTTAAAAACCAAGTATATTTTATTCAGTGAGGGAAAAAAGAAAAGTTAACAAATCTGATCTCGTGCTTTTTTCAACTAAAAAGTTCTTTTTTAATAATAAAGAAAAAATGCTTTTCTTCTATTTCAGAACTGCACTCCAGGATCTCTGGCATATGCAGTGTGTTACTCTTTCTGGGTTTTTTTTTTTTTTTTTTTTTTTAATTAGACTTTTTATTTTCAGATAATTTTAGATTCACATACAGTTGTAAAAAAATATTGCAGAGAGATCCTCTGTACCCTTTATCCAGCTCTCCCCTAATAACATAAAACATCTTACAAAACTACAGTATAGTATCACAGCCAGGATGTTGACATTGATTCCATCTACTGATCTTACTCAGATTTTCTCGCCTTTGCTTGTATTCGTGTGTGTATATAGCTCCATGAAATTTTTTCACATGCGTAGGTTTGTGTATCCACCTTTGTTGTTAGTAGATGCTGTTGAGTCGATTTCAACTCATAGCAACTCCATGTGACAGAGTAGAACTGCCCCATACCGTTTTCCAGGCTGTAATCTTGATGGGAGCATATTGCCAGGTCTTTCTCCCGCCTATCCACCATTAGTCAAGCAATACTTGTTTCACTTGTCAGAGGTTTTGTTAGGAACCCACTGTGTTGGTTTAACTGCCTTCGTCTTGAAATGTTGAAGCCCAAAATAATTACCGTAGGCAACCATTTTAGGACAACAACAAAATACAACCCCCTGAGTTTGTCATAAGTACTTAGTACAGGAATAAGTGTAAGAAAATAAAAGTATATACACCCTTTTAGGCATTTATCCAGAGGGAATCCTGCAGATTATCTCTTACTGAACGAACAGGTGTAATCTAGCCTGAGAAGACGTCAGATCATGAATTGTGTAGCAAACTTAAGGTCTTCAGTCTAATTTAGTTATTAAATGCCAAACATGCACTGTGTTCTGTGCAGGACTTCGAACCCTGCTGAGAATTTGCATTTCCAACAAGTTCCCTGCTGAGAATTTGCATTTCCACCCCAGATATACTGAATCAGAATCTATATTTTAACAGGCTTGTTAGGTGATTCTTATGTATAACTTCCTGGGAACTTGTTAGAAATGCTCATTCTCAGCAGGGGCTCAAACCTGAAGGAACTGTTTGAAACCCTAGTTCTGTGCTAATTACTTTCAGAAGCAGAAGTATGAGCTATAACATCTGTTTGCCTGTATCTGATTTTATGGGCTAATTTGAGAGGTAAAATGTTCAAACAAAAATTAATGAAGACCATTTATATGTATAGTAAAATGCTAAGTCTGAAAAACATTTTGGTTTTTCTGCTGGGGAGCTCAGACTTAAGGTTTATTGGTCATTTATATTTTATCATATAGAGGAACATTATCAAAACTGTTCTATGCCATCATAGTACGTTTGCTTCCTTTCTTATGGTTACGATTCTCTATTTTCACTATACCAGCTTTGTATTATGAGCTGTCTCAAGTCCTTTCTGTAACCAGGTATACTATTGAATGCAGTATCAAATTGTGTAGAACAGACAATCAGAGGACCTGGAAGTGTGTGATTTGTGTACAGATTTAATGGTATAAACTGTTAGTAGAAACTAAGAGAATATTGTGGCCTATAATCAACACAGAAGGCTTTGTGGCAAAGAGATTATGTGCTGAGCTAAACAGTGGGTGGAAATGTGGACGAGGCAGGAAAGTGAATATATTGTGAGTAGGTAGAAGGTTGGAGGTGGAGTTCTTCTTGTAGGGAGGAGTACTGAGTTACATGCTGCCCCTTCCCTCATAATTCACAGCTTTGCATAAACCTGTGATCACTAACTAGTTGCGCTGCAGAGTCATCTACAAGGGAGTTTAGTGCTTTTGCTCCAAGCCAGCTCCACACGTAGGTTCTGCTAACCCGGCCAAAAACCCTCCAGTGGTTTACCGGCCTTCACCTAGAAAAGAGCATAGCTATAACGCACTATGCAGATGTTGTGGTTATTATGTGAATGCAGTGAAATTAACTGAGATGGTACTTCAATATAATGAGAGTGCAATTTTCTTACATTTCTCTTCATATAGAGATATTGCCAAGAACGCTCTGCTCCGCTGGCGAGTGTTCATTTATTGGACATTCCTAGGAGTATTTGACGCTCTGGTGTTCTTCTTTGGTGCTTACTTCATGTTTGAAAACACAACCGTGACCAGCAACGGACAGGTCAGTGTTGAACTTGATCTTGTTGACTTAGCTACTTAGGAATTATCCCTGCTAATCCTATATGATGGTTTTGTCAATACACTAATTCAGTACAGCCTGAAGATTCCTGTTGGGTTTTGGTGTCATGGGGAGATATGTTTTGTGTATCTGTTTATCAAATTGCTTTAAAGAACACATTATGTCAGTCTTCATATCAGTAAACGCCATGCTGTGGATAGCCTCCCACTGATTGTAAGGAAATACCCTTTCTGAGGTTTTTGTAATGTAGATTTCACCATTAGCTATTATGTAGTGATTCAGTCATTCAAGCATTGCTTTTTAATATGGGAGTAATTTCATATTTAACACATTTTAATATTTTTTCACATGTACTTATCTTAAATATCTGTTTTCTTTGCAATAAATAGGTTCATAGCTTTCTGATAACATTCAGCTCTCTGGTTGTTTACATAATTTCTGGGGGTTTGTTTTATTTGTATTTTGCTTTTTTTGTCTTTTTGCTACTTGCTTCTCTTCCCACCCTCAGATAATGACTGCCAACATGTATATGGTAAGACACTTGTGGGTTTGTCCTTTCTCTATGTTTTTGGAGTGCATTACAAATAAAATATTTCTCGAAAATATTTTCAGATGTGACTTCTGTGTGCTTTGTTAGTAGAAATAGTGTTAGCTGCCACTGCCTTCTGCTTCCTTTAAAACTGAAGCTGCATTGAAGAAGTATGTGTACATCTTGATCATTTGTACTTGGTGTTTTATCTCTGAATTTCCCTGTCAGAATTGCCAATCGAGTCAGTGATTTTTTTTTAATTGATTTGATATACTTGAACTTCCCTTTGCTTTAAATAAAAAGCAACATAAGCAGATATGTGAGGCCTGTTGGGGAAATTGCTGTTAGATCACTTACAAAACTAAAAATTGTAGTATGGGCTGGTTCTGCAGTCACTGAGATAAATATACAGTAACTCAAGGGGCAGTCTTAGAGGAATGATGGTACTCTTGGTTCTTGGCTAGCAGGACAATGCAGAAAATAAAAGTGCTCATCTCTTTCTGAGCGTATTCCCGTCAGAACTAGAATGCATCTTATTGTTGGTGTAGTTTAGGTGTCCGGTTCTGTTGACTGTCAGTAAGTGAGAGCTACTTTTTTTAAAAGACCTAAATCATTCATGTAGGAATGTTTATAGGTCAGTCGCAGTATTGGGGGAGAGGGAGGTAAAATAGACTCATTGATAACTGTTTAAAAAGAAAAATTCACTTATGGAGCATTTTCTGCACAGAGATTGTAAGCCATGATAACCATAACAGTTTCTCATTTGATGCCACAAATAGCAATACTAAATAGTAACTACTGTATTAGTGTTGAGCAGCGGCGTGTTCCTAGATGAGCACTCAAAAGTTCGGAATGCCTTATACGAGAAGCCTGTAGAAATTGAGACTAGTGGAAACAAGCAATC